GTGTGTGTGTGTGTGTGTGTGTGATCTAGTTGGCAGTGATATTCAACATGTTGTATTTTTTTGGCCTGATATCACAGCGGGTGTGGCGTCCACCTGAGAACAAACAAGCTTGCAGCCTGTTGAATGTGACATGCAGCTAATCAGAAAGTGATGTGACGTAAACACGGAGGGGATTATAAAATATAAAATATAGAAGACATAAAACACTATCATGACTCACCAGAAAGTCCGCTGGATGTTTGAATTGTTTTTTTTTTTCTCTGTTAAAAATTGTTCACAAATGATCAAAATTACTTTTTTCTCATTTCAAATATTTATTTACTCTGAACACACGTCTGATCTCTGGAGGTCACGTAAGATTTTTCCTCTGACATCTGAATTCTTGCAAGTTTTCAAGAAGTCTGGTGTGATTTCACATCTGACATCTAACTGTTTATGAATGAAATCTGTCCACATGTGGTGTGTTGTCTCTTGCTGTACGTCACACACTGTAGGACCAAACCTGGTATGATTTTTTATCCTCACGTGTGTTGTCTCAGTCTTTGAGAATCGGCTGACAAATTTTTAAATCTTGCCGTTTGACCCAGCCTTTAGAAAAGAGATGTTTGAAACTGTATTTGAAGCAGTACCATTAAAATACTATTGAAAGTTTCTGCCCCAGTGTGTGTTTTACCTTCACTGCACAACCGGAATGCCCCCTTGGACTATTTAGACTGATGTTTCTAACCTGGAGACAGCAGAGTTTGTTATTCTGAGTTTGTCAGATGATATTTAATCTTAATGTTTCCATTTCATTTATATTAAGGAGACTGTTAAAGAGACAACTTATTCAGCTGTGATCATCTCATGTGTCTCAGGTAGGAGCTGACATCTGTGGATTCTTCCAAAACTCAAATGAAGAGTTGTGTCGYCGCTGGATGCAGGTGGGCGCCTTCTATCCCTACAGCAGAAACCACAATGCTCTGGGCTTTGAGGTACTGTAACACCATTTTATTCTACTGTTGTTATAGAAGACTGAAATGTTTCRAAAGGTTTATTTGTTCAGTTTTAGTGCTCTGAGGTAAACCCTTTTTATAACAGTGCTATAAACCAGGAGTGGTAAACTTTGCTTTATTAGAAGATGTCATCCCACCAACACTGAAACTGTTTCTTTATGAAACCCAAGCTGTGAAAACTCGCATTTTAAGTTTAAAACTATAAATATAAACTGTTAAAAACTACAGCTACTTCAGGGACTGAAGTGTTTGAGTGTAAATTCACGTTGTGCCAAAGCAATGTGTCTTTCTGTTTTATTTATGAGTGATATTTGTTCTCTAATAAAATAAAGACTTTTTCTTCTTTGCCATCTTCTCTCATCTATTTTCTCTGTTTCCAGCCTCAGGATCCAGCTGCGTACGGCGCTGACTCACTGCTGGTGAAGAGCTCCAAACATTACCTTACAATACGTTACACCCTCCTGCCTTACCTCTACACACTCTTCTACAAAGCTCACACTGCAGGAGAGACTGTTGTACGTCCTGTTTTACATGAGTAAGTCATTTTTTATATAGTGTTGAGCTCTTATGTTACAGGAGTACTTTTTTTAAAAATATGTGCTGAAGAAAACTGCATTTAAAGAAAATAAATTAAGTGCCTCACATATTTGTCATTATAATAAGGTTTCATCCTTTTTTATTCACCAAAAGGCTTTTTCTAAAACATTTTGAACTTGACAAATGATTTTATTTTCTTACAAATCCTCTCTGGAGAATGTCTTTCTGCAAAGTTTATAGCTTCTGAGCTTCTAGAAAAATTCCTGGAAAGTTCCAGTATGTAACATATAGTTTGTGTTATAAAGGCTGCTAAAAACTGTCACTTTGGAAAAGTTTTCAAAGTTGAAACAAAACTCTAATTACAAAGGCACCTAAAAACACTGTTAAAATATCAAATCCAATGTGTAAAATATTTAATTGGGGAAGTTACAATTATTGTTTCTGCAAATCAAATCAAAGTGAGCCTGTTCATCATCTGAGAAAAGTGAACCTACAAGAATTGAGCATTTCTGGCAAATATTTGCTTTAAAAACATCCAAGCACCACTACAGATTCTGTTGTTAAAGTTAGTCCCAATAAATCAAACACACTACTCTGCACTCAAAAATAACCACAAGCAATTCATCTGAACCTTTAAGTCACTGCATGTCAGCATGATAAAGTCATGTGATAGTAAGAGGACTCAAACACAAGAGAACTTAGTGAACAAGAAAGGAATTTAATGAAAAAACAAAAGAAGCTGRTGAAACGAAAATGATGGAGCTGAGAAAGAACTAAGACCAGAAACAGTGGATGCTAGAAAAACAGAAGAAAACAGTAAACTGAGATGGGAGAAGGGATGACTGAGCGCAGCTGGAACTAATGAGCAGATTAAGAACAGGTGTGCAGGATTAACTGCAGTAATGGATTATGTAAAAGTTTATGCAGATGCATCCCAGAATCAATCAGGTGATACAGGGGTAGCAGTCATGTTCCAGAATTTAAAATTCAAACAGGGAAGAAGCTGAATGAAGGGTTATCTGTTTACACAGCAGAAAGGGTTGCAATAATGTTGGCAATGGAATGGATTGAAGAAGTAAGACCTTTAAGAGCCGTCATATGCTCTGATTCAAGCTCATCTTTAATAAGTATACAAAGAAATCACTCAGAAAGTCGTCCAGATATTTTAATGGACATACAGCAAATACTACATCGGATACAGATGATGGGGTTAATTCTTGTGTTTTTATGGGTACCTGCACATATAGGGGTGAAAGGAAATGAAATGGCAGACAAGAAGGCCAAAGTTCCTGCAAGGTAGAAAGAAGTTAATATAAGAGTTTCATTCAGTAAGTCAGAGACTAAAAGCATTGTTAAAAGAAAAAATAGAGAAAAATGGCAGAAGAAGTGGGAAG